TAACCTCATGTAATTCCCAGTTTACATGGAGATATGATGTATTATTTATATTCAAGTAACATGTGAAATCATACACTAACAGTGTGGTAGGTTTATGTTGTAACCCAAATCAGAGCATTTCCAAGTCACCATAATTAAATATTATTCTATAGTACAATATATTTTATACTTCTTTTTCAAAACAAGTTTCAGATGGATATACCACAATGGTTGTCATAGCAAAAAAAAGTACACAGAGTTTTATTATTAGAATAAAAATTATACTTCATTATCACCAAGTCTGTAGCATGTCTTCAATCTTCACCTCAACACTAGGGGGATCTACTTTCTGACATTGTCCCTTCCCAGGGTTCCCCAGCAATAACGGCCAGCAAATTCCTACACTCAGGGATGAAACTATGCGTCATTTATTTCAGTTATTAAAGTAAATGCGTGTACATCTCAAATCCGTGAATTTTTACCTGATAAATAAAATGGATCGATTCGCCGGAGTTGCTGCGTGACTTGGCATCTACTGGAGTACACTTCTTAGCTTCTGTTGTCTACCGTTAGGTGGGCATGCCTGTCGTTCTCGCAGTGATGTCCCCTGGGCGTCTTTGGCGTGTTCTTTAGTTCCTTGAGCGAGCATGACAAAATTGGAGCTCTATACATCGACCGTGTGTTTTAAAAAGTATTTATTACGTTTATGCAATCTTGTAGCACCCGTGAACTTGTTGATTATTGGTGGTGATTCGTACGAAGCCAAACTTTCTAACCTTGTATTCGATTAATTAAATAATATTATAATTGCTAGCAGTTTTGCAATTTCTAGTTTTGAAATGCACCAAAACCAGACCTTGTTACTTGTTGTTTCTAGTAGAATAATATATAATTTAAGAAATATATGTGTATGTGTTTTTCAGTTTATTTACAAATTTTTAAAAGAAAATTCTTATACTTATACCAAATTACACAGTCATGTTTTTATGTAAATTTTAGTTATTTCATAATTGCATTATATTATTTTACTTGTTCATACTTTTTTGTTTTGTTTATTTTAATATTTATTATTTGCTTTCTACCAAAAGTTTCAGGTTAAGGTAAGGTTAGATCATGATTAGAATAGACAGCATATCTTCTCCTTCTTCTTCAGCATTCTGAGCTCTTGAGGTTCATTGCTGCAGATATCACCCGCCTCCATTCATCTCTCTGGTTGGCCTTCTAAGAAGGCTTCTCTTTTCCAGTTGGTGACACCAAGTCTTTTCAGGTCTGTCTGGATATTATCTCTCCATCGTCTTCTTGGTCTGCCTCATCACTCGTGGTCTACGACCATTCATCTCCCTCGTGTATACAGTTCTTACTTCTCTGTCATCTGACATTCTTTCAAAATGCCCAACCATTTCAGTCTATTAGCTCTCATGATGCCAGTGATCAGTGGTGATTTAAACAGATTATGAAATTCGTTATTGCTTCTCACTCTCCATTCACCGCTGTTTGCATCTTTGATGGGTCCAAAGATTCGTCTTAAGACTCTGTTTTCAAAAATAAGGCTTCATCTCTTTTAGCTGTGCTCCAAGTTTCAGAGCCATACAAAACAAGTTACAACTGGTCTTATCAATGTTTTATATTTTTTTATCTTGATGTTGTGAGACAGACACTTTGACTTAGTTTAGCAGATGTTGAAGGGTATAGTATACTTTATTTCAAAGATTGTATTCTAGATTGTATTTCTTTACTCAGCATGTTGGAGCAGTTGAAGTTTGCACTGAAGTACTTATATGTTTCCGTTCATTTGATTTTCACATTATCAATTTGAATGTGGCTAGAGTTTATATCCTTTGCCTGTCTAGTTATTATCATGTATTCTGTTTTATCTTGATTGATAACTAGTCCCATTTGCTGAGCTGATTCTTTAAGACAGTCAGTATTTTAACAGTCTCTAGTTCATTTTCTCCAACGATATCAATGTCATCATCATATCCAAGTATTTTTGTAGTTTCTCCTATAGTACACTCGTTTCAATTTTTTTTTTTCCAGGGCTAAGTTGAAAAACGTGGGGACAGAGCATCACCTTGCTTTAAACCTTGCTTTGAAACCGGACTTTCTGTTATATGTTTGAAAAGGGTCGGCTACTTTCAAATTATCCGAAAATATACCCTTATATGTTATTGCTAAATACCGCCGAGGGTTACACCCACAAGCTCGCAATTGACACATGACTGAGGCCCTGTTAGGGTATAATATTTTTGGCCTCGATAATTTGGGACCGTTATTCCGAGGATAGTTAAAGTGCCTTCCATACATAGGGTATAATATTTTTGGCCTGGTCATTTGCTAGGATAGCCAGAGTGCCTTCCATTAGTTTGGTATTCTAATGAAAAGTTGGTATTCATAGCATTCCATATACTGTTTCTATGTACACTATCAAAAGCCTTTTAAAAATTCACAAAAACATTATGTATATCTTTTTTTATATTCCCAGTTCTGCTCTGCTATTTGCTGTAAAATGAATATCTGATCTATTGTGGATCTGTTCTGTCGGAAACCTGCTTGGTAATCTCCCAATGTGTCTTCGATGTATGGTTTAAGCCTGTTTAGCAGTACCACTGATAGTATCCTTATAGCTTGTAGATAATAGTGATATTCCTCTATAATTTTTACTTATACTTGTCTCCTTTCCTAAAAATGGGTATTAATAAAGACACTTTCCATTCATGGGTAAGTTTCTCCGTCTTACAAACCAGTTTTTTTAAATTCATATATCCTTACATGTAATGCATGACCAATTTCTTTTAAAAGTTCCAGCTGCATTTCCATCAGCACCAGTTGCTTTATTGTTTTAAGCCATGTTATAACATACAGTACTTCTTCAAAATCAGGCTCTTCAATATTTGGTTCACATGTTAGTATCTCTTTCTGTTGATGTATTAAGTGGGGATTCACAATTTAACAATTCAGCACAGTATTCCTTCCATCTGTTAGATATTTCCTCATTATTTATTATTGATCATGTTCCCATTGTGATCTTTTAAACTATAAACACTTTATTGATGTCCTCGATTTACAGCCTTCAGTTCTTTAAAAAAACTTTCTGGATTCGTTGTTCTGATGGTTCGCTTCCATATCCATGAAAATCTTGTTCATGTATACTCGCTTTTGGTGTCTTAACTACTTTTGTAGCTTTTTTTTACATTTTGCTCTGCATTTTTCTTCATTTTGTATGTTACTAGTATCATTTAGCCAAATCTGCCAGGCATGTTTTTTCTTACTGACTGCTTCTTCACATTTTGTGTGAACCATTTTTCTTTTTGTTTATGGTGGACACACCAAGACATTCTTCTGCAGTGATTTGAATTATATTCTTAATATCCATCCAGGTTTGGTCAACGTCTTTCTCTGACAGAATTGGTAAAATTTCAATTTTTTTCACCAACCAGGTAGTGGTCACTATGATACTCAACTCCTCTGTAGCTTCTAACTTGTATGTTTGATGCATTTCTGTTATTGATTAAAATTTGATCTATCTGATTATGAGTTTTCCTGTCACATAGTTGCCAAGTTTGTTTATGTATATCTTTTCTTTGAAATCTGGTGCTGCTTATCTGTAGTACTTTCGCTACGGGAAGGTTGGTTAATCTCCATCCATTATTGTTTGAATTAGTATGTAGGTTTCCATGCCTGCTACATTTTTATAGGTGTTTCTCTTCCTATGTTTGCATTGAAATCTCCTAAGACAATCAATATGTCTCATTTTTGAGCTTCATCTATGATTTTCCCAAGGAGATCAAGAAGAAGAGGAAGAAGTCAGCATATAATTATTATAATATAATAATATATTTTATTTAGGCATTACATGGGTTGACAAAATTCTGGAAGACCTAGACTTCGCCGACGACATAGCACTCCTGAGTTCAGAACACACAGACGCCCAAGAAAAAATCAATTGACTCCAGAATTTCTCAGAACAAATTGGACTCCAAATTAACACTGCAAAAACAAAAATTCTAGACCTTACCAACAGTTCAGTTGATATCACGCTGAACAACAACAGTCTTGAAAAAGTCAACAGTTTCACTTATCTAGGGAGCAAGATGTCATCTACAGGAGATACCGCACCAGAAATACCATTTAGAATAGCACTGGCATCTAGTGCCTTCAATAAACTGTCCAACATCTGGAAATCAAAGACACTTAGCAAACACACAAAACTCAAGATCCTCAATTCTTGTGTGATTCCAGTTCTAACCTATGGATGCGAGAGCTGGAAATCAACAAAAACTCTAGACACAAAATTAGACAGTTTTGAAAATAAATGCCTTAGAAGAATACTAAATTTCAAATGGTCAGATTTCTGAACCAATACACAAATAAGGCAAGAATCCAGGCAAGAGTATGTGTCTAATTTTATACGAAAACGCCGCTGGAACTATGTCGGCCACGCCCTTAGAATGGATAAATCAAGACTTCCTTAACAAGCCCTCATTTGGACACCACAGGGGAAAAGATCTTGTGGAAGACCAAGGGAAACCCTACGTAGAACTATCATCAGGGAAGGCTCGCTCATGGGCCACTCAAACATCCAAGACCTACAACAGATTGCAACGAACCGCCATGCATGGAGAGTCATGACCTCTGCCCTATGTGCCGCACTCGACACAAGAGGAAAGACTAACTAACCAACTAATAATATATTTTCCTTGTATGCAAGCTTTTCTTTCTGGCGGTAGGTAGCGGTATGCAGTACCTGCACTATTTTAAGGCATAATTTTTTGCAGTGCTATTGTTAATTGAATTAGCCCTAGGCACTTTGTGGGGTGCACCTTTTTAATCTAAAAAAAAAACAACCTGTTGTTATATACTAATAAAAATAATATGTTAATATTTAGAAAATATACATTACCATACACTTATATGATAACTGGCTTTTTTTTTTAATGCAAGTCTTCCATATACAGAGTGCTGATCATCCTCAATAGACTGTAGAACAAGAGAGATTCAGTGTCAATCACCATCATCTGGAGATGGAGTTATCAGACAATACTAGTAAATTATTTCTACTTACCATAATTGTATGTGTGCACACTTTAATTTCAACTGAGGTGGAGCCACCAGGTCACCTCAAGAAGCTTGGTTCTCACAAAGATCCTAGTGGTATAACTATGATTGGTAAATTTTCTACGCCGGCAGTATTTTATGAGCACTTTGTAAAGCCTGGGAAACCTTTGTGGATGAGGTCAGTTCTGAGTTCTGTAAATCATCCAGGATTGACTAACTGGACGGATAATTTTTTCAGGTAAATAGTTTTATTACTTTTATAAAAACATTTGTTACATAATTCTTTCTTTATTTACAAATTGCCTATTTCTGTAATGTAATTATTTAAATAGTTACTTCATTATATGTCCAGAAAGCAATGGCAAACTACTGGACATAAATTTGTCTAGATAAACCACAACAGCCAAAAAATGCCTGGATTGGTTCTGCAGTGTCCTGTAAAGGATACGCGACTATCTGTATTTAACTATAGTGTATCGGTTGATATACAAATTGCCACAGTGTTTTCTAATTTTTATGACTGTGTAACTTTAACTAACTAATTAAACTCTTGACATAAATTCTTGACTTGCGAAAAAAAATAAAAAAATGTGTGTGGTAAAAAAAAAATGACATTATTGTTTCAAAATTAACATATCATTATTCACATCAACATGCCTTCAAAAGTGTTACTATTACAGTGTGAACAACTGAGACAATTAGAAAGCATTGCTTACCCGAGCTTACAACTTAGTGTGTAGTGTCTAATTCAGTTGGGGGTTTTTTTTACCTGAAGTTTAGGTCAGTTATTTTGTTCTGCACTGACAATTTTAATTTTTTTATTGACATTTTGACTTTATATGCCGTCCTCAGAGCATACACACACATATGTGTGTGCATGCAGAGTTGTTGGCATTTATTTAACTTATCAACAACTGCTAGTCAGCAAGCTTAGTTGTACTTGGCATTAAATGGGGCAGCTGACTAAGTAAGTGATTCTCCAATGAATCCCAGACTACTATGATGTTATGGGAGATAAAAGAGCAAACAGCATAATGAAAATCAGGAGCAATACAGAACAGCCAGATACAAGATGCACTTATGAGGCAAGCAAAACTCAGATCAAGGCAGCCATTAGAACACTTCCCTGCCAGAACACAGACCCAGAGACTCAGTCAGCCTTCTCACACGAAAACAAGAGGCCATTGTATTTAGACTGCCCACTGTACACAACAGACTTCACTGCCATATGTATAAGAAAGTCCAGATTTAGGACTCAGAACTTTCTTCTTGTGGACAGGCACCACATAGTGTTGAACGTGTGCTGCAGACATGCTGTCTCTGCATGCTGTGGAGAGAACCTTAGTCTGATCAGTTCACATTCTTGTGGAAACCAAGCTGTATGGATCAGTGCAAGACATGAGTCAACCCTTTTATAACAAACTTTATAATTTTCAAAGGGTCACAAATTGGGCACATAGGCCCATCTTACATTCAGCTCTTCCAGACACTCATCTTTCACACAGCAAGTGTATTTATCAATAAAACATGTAATGTTCATATAACAGTGTCATAATATGATTATCAGGGGAAAAACACAAGCATGAATGCTAAATGCATGCACACATGCCCACTTACACATTCACTTACATACTCATGTAGTCACACACATATTTATTCATCATGCATACATACATACATGCATAACACACACTTCACTCATATGGATATAAAGACTCTCATATATAGAGAGAGCAAAGAGAAGAGGAAGATTTTACTGTCATTCACAAGAGATACCATGATTACCATTTGCTGCATTGTGTCTGAATTTGTCTCTCATCAGCTTTGCTCCTTGTACCTAGTTTCAGCTTTCTCTTGTTAATCCTTTATAATCAGGGTTAATACATGTGGTGAGCTCTTTGTATAAAGTACAATATAAACTCATTCTATTCCAGATACATTATTGTACATTAGTGGCTCAGTCAGTAAGGCTTTGAATTACCAAATTCCCTGTGTTGTGAACAGATGGTGAACAAAGAAGAAGAATTACCAAATCGCTTTTTTTTCTTCTCTTCGTAAACATGTGCGATTATGAACTAAGTAATGATCACTATATTGTGTGATCTTTGGAATATTTTTATTTAATAATATAATTTTTAACCACTTACTTGTATCTCTTTGCTGTGTAGTTTTAATATAAACCCACATTTACATCAATTTTCAGAAAACATTATGGCAGTGAAACTGTCAAAGTTGAGATCAGTAGGAAGGAAAATCGTAAGTCTATTCCAAAATGGCTTACCTTCCGACAGTTTCTGTCATTATATGAGACTGAAGATGTCTACATGGTGCAGACATTGAAAGATAAAATGGAAGGTAATGTTTATTTCATTGCAGTAAATTTATAATTGGCATGTGGGTCATGGACTCTCTCACAGTCTTTAGGGAAGACAATTGGGTGTTTTGAGCTGATATGCTACAGATGATTCTTAGAATACCATAGATAAAGAAGAAAAGAAATATTACATTCTAAAAGATCTGAATATTGAAGAAAATTGGCTAGTAACCAGCAGTTTGGGGTATGGTACTAGAAGAGAGCGACATGAGCCAGCCAGTGTGAAGGTGGGCACAGGATATAGGAGACACCTCTGGCTGGAAAGTGCTGGAGTTACGGGATACATTTTTAGCTTTGTCTAACCAGCTTATTTCTCAGTATAAAGATGGTACATGTGCTTTTTACTTATATTGACCTTTATCTTTAATAAGCTACTAATACAGGCTGATATTGATCTTGCGAGGAAGGCTACGTTTAGTCTTTCAAATATTAGATGCAAATCTTTACAGCTTGTCCGTAAGTCAACATAAACAAACATAAGGAGTTGTGTACAACTTAGCAAGAAGCCTTGTCGGAGCTCGGAGTTATTTTGAAAATTGTTTTCCATTAATCTAACATTGACCAGAGTTTGCATTTTATGATAGTTTTCTGTTGACCTAAGTTGTATGGTAAGATGGTCTTCCATTAACCTGAGTTTGTATGGTAAGGTTGTCTTCTGTGGGCCTAAGTTTCTTTGGCAAGATAATCTTCTATTGATCAAAGTTTGTATGGTAAGATAGTCTTCTGTTGATGTAAGTGTGTATGTTAAGATAGTCAGTCTTTCATTGACCTGATCTTGTAAGGTAAGATAGCCTTCTATTGATCTAAGCTTGTATAATAAAATAGTCTTATTTTGGTATAAATTTGTATGGTAAGATAAGTCTTCAATTGACCCAAATTTCTGTGGTAAGATAAGTCTTCTATTGACCTAAATTTCTGTGGTAAGATAGTCTTCTATTGACCTAAATTTCTGTGGTAAGATAGTCTTCTATTGACCTAAATCTGTATGGAATGATAGTCTTCTATTGGCCAAAGTTTGAATGGTAAGTTAGTCTTCTATGGTGAGATTAGTCTTTTGTTGACCTAAATTTGTATGGTAAAAGAGTCATCCGTTGGCCGGGGTTTGTATGGTAGAATAGTGTCTTATTAGAATGAGTTTTTGTAGTTGTCCCACGTGTAGAACATAATCTGTGTGTACATTTTTCCATGTGTGTGGACATGTTTGGGAGATATAGCAGTGCATTGGCCAGCACATTTACCTGTAGGCTAATGGTCAAAGCTTTAATTCCCTGCAGAGACAGATAACTTTTTTTTTTCCACATAGGCTTGCACTTTCTAGATTAGTCCCTTTTAATTTGTACAGCTTACATCTTGGTGATCTGTATAAATAATCAGAGACATTGTTCTGTTGGCCCACTGTTGAATTTTACAATTTGAGACAGATCGCCATAATGTACACTTATATAGATTGTTATTTACCTGGGGTAATATGAAAATTCTGCATGGTTGTTTCATGTTGAAAGGAAAGAATATATGGTGCTGTGATGACAGCATAGGTCAAGACTTGGTATCACTGTTGTGTTGACCAAGAGATGTTGACAAAATATAATCTTCTCTCTGAGCACGTGAATTCCCATTGCTGTTGAATAGTCTTGCTGGTGACACTATTTGTTTTTAAGTTGTCTTTTTATTTCTATATTATTTTTACTGAACTGGTTCTGTTTCCCACCTGTGTGGTTCAAATCCCCTTGAGACAGATTCTTCAATTGGACCGATATAGCCAGCTGAAGGCATTTTAAACTACACTTTCTGTTCAGTCTATATCTTGGTAATGTGTTTCAAATACGAGACATTATTTTTGTTAGTCTGTTATCCATATACACTTACATATTTTTGTTATATCCCTAATACCAGAAGTATTGTTCTTATTTGACCATTCTATAAATGTGTCTATAATTTCATCCTTCTTCTTTTGCTAGCACATTGTTACCATGCGTTGTAGCTCAGTATCATGATTCTAGAGTAGCCTGAATGATGTACTTATTTTTTTTTTTTTAGGAGGAGGGGAGATTTAGCTAAACCTTCTATCATTGTCTTCCTTGGTCTTCCCATAACCTTCTACCTAGAACCTTCTGTGTTCATCTGTAGTAGGTTTCATATTCAGTTTGTCCTGGCTGCCTTCTTACTACATAGCCAGACCACTGCATTTTCTCTGCACAGTCTTGTTCCAGCATTCTCTCTAATGCTTATATTTGTGACTCTTTGACATCTTGTGTTGTTAGTGATCTTTCAGTCATCACATTTCACAGGCGTTTTTTTGTGTTCCGAGGATCTACTCATTGTTCATGTTTGTCACTGATAACATAAAGTGAGTGTTATCATCTTCTTCTTTCTTCTGTTTGCTTGAAATAAAGTATCTGCAGTGCTGTCTCTAGTATGAACTTCACTGTCTGTAATTCAGTTAGCAGCCTAATAAAGTTTCACTTCCACCGGTGTTTCTTTTGGCCAGAAATTTTGCCTGGAAGTATGCTTTTTGGGACAGTCTTGGAGGATGTCTCAGATGCCAGGCCACATGTGCACATTGCTGATTCGCTAGTTTTAAATTTTGTGTACCTGTGGCTCTGAAGTCGACTGTGTCCTGTTCTAAGGCATAGAATAATGACTTGCTCTGATCTGTCCGTAATATGGTAATCGCTTGCGAAAGTTTTGGTAATTTTCTGTTTGATTTTATTTTTCTATCTTCTGTTGATTAGAGACTGGTCCGATTGTTCTTTAGTTGCACTTTATCATTATTTTAAACCATTTTTTTGCATTGTGGAGAGAAATAATTTGTGATCCAATGCATGCTGGCTGACACTGGCTAGTGTCTCTCCGTGAGGGCACAAAGTATCCTTGCTTCTGTAGCTGATCTTCTGAAATGTAGTGTCATATACATTCATGGACTGGTGTTTGCAGTAATTTTGAAGGTTGTTTGAAGTTGGAAAGGGTTTGTGATGCTGTGATGACAACATGGGTCAAGACTTGGTATCACTTTTGTGTTGACCAAGAGATGTTGACAAAGTATAATCTTCTCTCTGAGCACACAACTTGTGCATTCCCATTGTGGTTAATAGACTTAAGAGCCTTGCGGTTAATGCCCAGGTTATTATTTGTACAAACTAAGCTGTAGTTGTGTATATGATTTCTGTATTATTTTCACAGAACTGGTTCTGATCCCCACAAGTCTCCAGTGTGGGGGGTTCCAGCGAGCAATACAGGAGGCGGTCATGTGGCTGGGCAGTGGAAACACAGTCTCAGTGTTACATCGTGATGGTCTTGATAATTTGCTTTGCCTTCTGGATGGCCGAAAAGAATTTGTGCTGATAGATAAGGTTATTTCTTAAATCTTTATAAGTAAATAGATATGCCTTTTAGTCTTATTTCCTGGTAACACCTTACTGAACATGCTAGAACTGCTATGGCAGGGTTCTGAGAAGGAAGGTAACAGGTATTTATGAGCAAGCATATGTTGATATTGTCTGTATACCCTAGCAGCCATGGTAACAATGTGGCTAACATGCTTATATGTCAGTCTGGTAGTCATGAATTTTGATTGCCATCATGCCAGGTTATCAAATAGAATTAGAGTTTCCATTTTGAAGATACAGTATATTAACAGCTTCTTGCCTCATCATCTGTTATGATATTACCTTTATCTTATCTCAGATGCCAATTTCTGCATGCCAGTGTGAACACATTATCTGACCTAAAAAATGTTTTTCTTTGCATTTCATTGTCAGGACATTAAATATTAAATGCTTACTTGTTATTTTTTAGTTATGTTCACACAGTTATGTTTGATGTGCAAAATGGGAAACATTTATGGTGCTGTGATGACAACATGGATCCAGACTTGGTATCACTGTTGTGTTGACCAAGAGATGTTGACAAAATATAATCTTCTCTCTGAGCACACATTTTTTTTTTTTTTTAATGTCACAATCAGTTTTTGATTTGTGTGCCATGCATGAATGTGGTTTTATTGTTATAGCTTTCTGGATAAGTGCACACACACACACACAAAAAAGAAGCTTAATTTTTCCTGTCTAAACATGTAAGTTTCTTTACTGTACTAGTGTATATATGTGTTGCTGTTACTGAATGTATATCAAGACTACTGTATCAATGTCAACAATAGGAGTCTAGTTCCTTATGTATGGATGTACCTATGTATGTGTGTGTGTTTTGTTGGTGTTGAAAGTCCATCAACAGTACTGTAGCAATGTTTGCAATAGAAGTCTAATTCGTTATGTATGTATGTGTTGCTGTTACTGAATGTGAATCAACACTACCGTAGCAATGTCTGCAATAGAAGTCTTAGTTCTTTATGTTTTTATGTATGTATGTATGTGTTGCTGTCACTGAATGTGTATTAACAATACTGTAGCAATGTCTGCAGGAGGAGTCTAGTTCATTATGTATGTATGTGTTGCTGTCACTGAATGTGTATTAACAATACTGTAGCAATGTCTGCAGGAGGAGTCTAGTTCATTATGTATGTATGTGTTGCTGTTACTCATAGTACATCGATACTACCCAGTAACTAGAAATATGTTCATAACATGACCACATTTTAGTTGCTGTAACAGCAGTAAAAGCATTAGCAGTCTGTAGGATACGAGTGGCCATTCTGCTGCAACTCGCACATTTATACAGACACTTAAAAGTGTCAGAGTTGGTGTACAGTTAAAGGAAACCTTTCAGAAATGTGATGCATTGATTTATATGTCCTTGACAACCTTATCATCAAGTGTCTTGCCAACTGGCATGGGTGATCGTGCCTCTCTACCATTAAAAAAAATAATGATTGTTTCTTTCTAATGTTTGTGATAAGTTGTCCTCAAGCCCTCACTTTTTTCAAAACATCTGAGTTGCTCTTTTTATCTTTCCAAGGAATTCTAAAGATTCTTCTGTAAAACTACATCACCGAGGCTCCAAGAAATTGTTCAACATGTTTACTAAGTGTCCAGGATTCACAGCCGTATGTTTAAACTGGCTCTATATAGCCTGCGAGAGTTCTTTTTCTAACCTTCAATGGCCTGAATTTATTGCATTGAATTTTTTCCATTTTATAAATTGCGGTTTTGGCCTGTCCTATGCTGTTCTTTATCTCTGTGATACATCTTTCATCACCATTTACCTAAATACTTAAATTACTGTAATTATCCTAAAATAACACCTTTGACTTTTATTGTACATCAAGGCACTGTTCTTTTCTTTGAAATCACCATCACTTCTTTCTTTACATTATTCAAACTTATGCCCATTGTATCATTTTCTACAACCACCAATCATTTCCTATAATTCTTTCTTTCTTCTTGCTTTTAAGATGGTATCATTAGCATATCTAAGGTGGTTTATGTTATGACCACCTAACTAAATTCCCGGCACATCCATGATAGATCTCATATATATTCACTGTCTAAAGAAAACAAAGCAGGTAATGTTACATGCCCTTGTGCTTCCCTCTTGATGCTCTAAAATGTTCCCAGATGCTTATTTTTTCTTATAGCTGCTGTTTGCTGCCAATACATGTACTTTATTTGTAAATCTTCTTCATTTGTGTTTAACGTGTCCAGTAGTTTGATTATTTCTTCATGTTTCACGCAATCAAATGCTTGTATGTCATCAGTGATGCAGAAGTAAAGGTAGTTTTTTTTTTCAATTCTCCTATATGGCTCTTTCCTCAATTTGTTTATCACCTGCAATTTTTTGTTTTTGCTTGAACTTTTAGCTAGATAAGAGAAATTTCTGATAAGAAGAACCATTTCCTTTAGTCCTCTGTGAGTTCTCGTTGTCGGGTCTGTACTGTACTGTGCTGTATCCACCAAGCATGTTATGTGATGCAGTGATGAGAATGCTGTTCAAGACTTGGTATCACTGTTGTGTTGACCAAGAGATGTCGACAATGTAAAATCTTCTCTCTGAGCACAAGATAAAGATATAAAATTCTTGACACAGACCAATACATACATTAGTTAGTTGGCTGTTTATTTTTTACAGGACTTTGCAGAAGCAGCCGCAGCATTTTTTGGCTGTTCTAGTTTTTCTAGGCAATCTTTTTTTAAATAACTTTTGGCAACAAATACCACAGGAACTTTAAACCAATATGACAGAAAATGCCATACAGGATGGCTGTTAGAAATTTGCTTTATGTATATCATTCCATGTAAACCTGTTTAGAGGACTTATATCCATTAAAATAAAACATCTCAAATGTGGGCAGCTTTGTGTCTGGGCAAACATTGGCTGTATTTATTTGATATTTTTAAATCAGAATCATTTAGATTAATGATCGTTCACATGCCTTGCCAGCTGGCAAAGGTGATCATGTTGCTCCACATCTTGCAGCTTCCAGCAGCATGTATTAATTCCAATGCTGACAACTTCCTGTGATATGACTAAGAGCTTTCAAGAATATCTTCCTGTACCTTGCTTTCCTTAAATTGTCCAATTGTTACAGATTGCTCTTTTTTTTTTCTTTCTTAAAAAATGATGTTGATAAATGTTGTAACTTTCACAATGTGTAGTTAAAATTGTCCTAATTTCAGTGTGTCTGAAGAGGGAGAGATTTTCTCACTGTTATAAAATTAGTTTGGGGTACTTTAATAGCGTAAATAAGGTTAACTTCATGTTAATTTTCTTACCATTTTGATGTTATTTTTTTTTATGTAGGTGTACAGGCATGAAGTAGAGACACATGGATTTGTGGAATCTGAAGGCTACAGTTTACTGAATACAGCAAAAGTGGACTTGATCAAGTTTCCACGTCTCGCTAGCTTACCGTGGCATCAGGTTCATTTAGATAAAGGAGACTGCATTTTTATACCAAAAGGGTCTGTGCTACTGTATCATTATTACCTAGTTGAAACCTCATAGCATTTTTTGACCTAAACATATACCTCATAGCATCTTTGACCTAACATAAGGAGAACAGTATTTTTTTTTAATATTATTTAAAGTTTCTAGCTTAATTTATTATCTATAGTGCAGACCGCTTAAAGCGATCTCGGATGTGGCAGATTTATGTTGTGAAGAACAATTTATTTATCCCCTGCAATTTTTCTTTTTTATCTTTGTAAAAACTGTTGTTTGAGCGGAATCCATTTATCACAAATTTTATGATGTGCTGAACGATTAAACTCAACTATATACTTTGATCTGCTTAAGGCAAACTTTTTCAGATACCTGGACTTTTGTAAAACTTTTCGGCTATTTTATGAAATTGTGCACTTTTTGTTAGAATTTGAGTTATTTCTCCTCTAAATTAACATGTTTTGGTGATTTACATGTTTACTGTGTCGATCAATTGATCAGTTTGTCCCTTTACTATAACATCTTGAGATTTTTTTTTAATCTCATCTGGGCGGCAGACCAGCAGGTAGATACCACGTACATCCTTCAAAGAAGTTATAAATAGAACAGTTTATTGTTAGTAAGCATGATTATGGCTCGCCACGTCCCAAAATTTTCAGAGTCTTAGATGAAGTTTGTGATCTTTATTTTCTATGCCCTTTGGCCAAGTAATCCAGTATTTATCTGTTTATACTTCATTTGCTCAACTTCTCCATCTTGTTTTTAATGTTTGCTTCGCATATTTCTGTCCTTGAATATTCCATGAATCCACTGTGTCAGGAAGTCCTCCAGCACTGATTCTATTGTGTGTAAGTGTTAGAATTCCTCTTAGTTTTCCCCCCAAAAAACATTAGTCGCTGCCTAGATCTAATTTCTCTTTTATTTTTGCATTTATTTTTACTTCAAGAATTAATATCTATTCCTGGTGAAATAAAATTTTAAAAATATAAAGTATATACATTTTTGCCAGGCATGTGCAACTTACAGATGCATAAATCACAACTAATGGCTTACTGTTCTGTAAATTTTACTGTGTTACACAAAGTTCTAGTGTAGTGGTTCTGAGTTATGTGTGTTTTTCCCTTACATCTGGAAAATTTAATAGAAATGTTCTTTGAAATATGCTATTAGTAAATATGTTGACATTGTGACAATTGCATAATTTACTTTATTTCTCTCTTATCCCTACAACAGAGGCTTTCAATAGTGGTACATGCTTAATGTTAATTGCATAATGGAAACATAGTTACAGGTGTGATAAAAGCTTTGATTGTACAAACAATTATTCTTACCTACATTCAAACTGATAAGCATTGCTTTTTTCTCCTGATGGTATGCAGTGTTATGCAGTACTGGCATATTTTCAGGCATCTTTTTTTTCAGTGCTACTGTTAAAAACATATTGTTTGTGCTTGTACTGTAATTTTGTTTTAAAAGAAGAAAAAGCCCAGCTGATGAGAATCACAATGTGATTAGTTTGTTTGTATGTGTGTGTGTCTCATTGTCTTGTCTATTGCAGATGGTATCACCAGGTGACTTCCCACAAACACAGACATCTGGCCATCAATATTTGGTTTTCCCATTTGTTTTGGTTCAACTATATGAACTGTTCCAATGATCAAGAATTTCACAAGCCATTAGAGCCAATCTCTACATTTGGATTCGCAACCCCAAATGAAGTTTACAGGTATAAATATGTGTATATGTGACACATCTTATGCAGGGTATTATTTTATCTCTTGCAGTTCCTGTTTTCGGCTGTTTGTTACAGTGCCAAGCAACTCACCAATGTGTTTAATGGGTCCTCCTTCTGTTATTCATTTTTCTTACCTCCTTGTGCCATAACCAGTTATAACACTAACCCTTGTAGTTGGTATCTTTCCAGGTAATATTGTTATATTGTGTTATAGAAAGGCCTGAGAATCACAGCAAGTTAAGACCAGGGATGAGGTTCCTCTTTGTTACCTAGGCATTATTGTAGAGACTGTATGTTTTCTATGCTGCATGATCCCTCAGCATCCTAGTTTACTCCAAAGGAGTGATAACATCAGTATATTCAGAACAAGGCATGCTGCAAAAGCTGCCGGATCAGAAAAGCAGGGCTTTGTCTGTACCAAACCAATTCGTCCCAGTTGTCAATAAACTTCTTCTCGCGAGTTGTTATTTCAACTCATTCTCACAGAGAGCATGAAAGTAACATCTTTCTGGGATAGAACGAGTTCTGTAATATCTGCCTTCTGCTGAAAGAGTTAATGCTGTTTTTGACAATTTGTATACAGATGCCAATTTTCTTTGCCAAGTACTCACAGTAGGTTGCAATTTCTTTCTGCAAAAGCAGTGCCCTTACTGAGTGGGTTGTAAGTGATTCTTGAAGAGAACTGACTGCCCACATCAGAAGGAGACAGTCTACATTCTTTGGTTGCGTCATGAGAAGGAGAAAGCTGAGGTACATCGTGATGGTGGTGAAGCTGCAGGGACGAAAGAGGGAAACAAAAACTGTTTGGCATCATTGCATGGAAGGTTGTCTGTGTCAGAGTTGATTGAAAATACATAAGACAGAAGGTTTTGGATAGACCTGACTACCAACGCCATATGGCTTGGACTATGAAACATTGTGTGTGTCAGATTTGATTAAAAATACACAAGGCAGAAGGTTTTGGATAGACATGACTACCAACGCCAAATGGACTATGAAACATTATCTGTGTCAGATTTGATTGAAAATAAACACAGCCAAAAGGTTGTGGATATGGCCTGGTTACAAATTCCACATGACATGGACTATAAGAAGAACCCCTGTGTTGCTAGAGCCAGTCTCTTTCTGATGTAATCTGAATGATCCCAATGATGTTAATTATGGACCTGTGCTATGCAAAGTTTGCAACATCTTCAGTTTCTCCCATTGTTGCTTACAAGACTTTTATCAGCAGAAAAAAACTCCAGCCCATTTAAACGTACGGAAATCTGATTTTCACTTCTTTTGAGACGTTGTTTCCCTTATAAATATGGTTAAAACCAGTTTGAGATCAAAATCAACTTTTTTGTTTGTTCTTAAAAATTCAGCTGACATATTCTGTTGTGGTTTACAACTAGGCTGTGATATCTGCACCCTTTTGCATAACACATTCGGTTTCGGCTAACTCCTAATTAGTCACCTTTTATAAATGCTTGGGGGCAGTGGGTGTGGTCTTTTTTCATCCAAGATGCAGCCCCCTAAGAAAACCCATATGTGGAGAGATCAGGATATATATAATTTTTGCCATGTGGGTTCTGGAGCCCCGTTGTGGGGAAAACTAGATTAGATCCAATGCCTACCCCAATGTATGTCGTAAGAGTCGAATAATTTGGAGCTTTCTTCAAAGGCAAGGAACCAACTGTCTGCATACAAATGAGTCAGATCTGTAAAATTTATGTGCATGCAAAACTCAGATTCTGAAACAGATTAGAGTCCAGAAGCGGGCGAACAATTAGAACTTTATGCCAGAGGTTACAGCTGGTGAATGCGAAGAAAAAAAAAAAGAAGAAATGTTTTTCTTGCAGTTTATCTGATATTATATCAGCTGGTGGTTGTGTACATTGCACTATAATGTTAGTTATCACTCTGTTTGGTTTACCATTATTTAAAAAATGTTACAGATCAAAACTTTTGGAAGAGCTCTTCGACAAAGGTTTTATATTTAAAAATGTTTTTGTGGAAACTGTGCATACGTCCACACCAGAAAGACGCCATCAGGTAATATTTCAGACTTGTCTTTTTTCTTTTCTAGAATTTATGCTAAAATATTGTTTTGTTAATGCATTTATTCTTTTAAGATTGCCTAAAAGAAAATTAAATAATGCATTCTTTGTAAGGGGGGGGGGAGGGGGGGGGATAGATCCACTGCTTCCCTAACAAGCATGTCGAAAGAGTAGACTAATTGGGGTGTTTTCTTCAAAGTCGGAGTGCATCAACCTGAGAAATGAGGAACCAACAGTCTGCATACAAATAAGCGAGATCTGTAAAATGGATATGCAAAACTTGAATTCTAGAACAAGACTAAGAGTCCCAGAAGTGGTTGAACAACCAGAACTTTCTGCTTAAGTTTGCAGCCAGTGAACACTAAGAAGAAGAAGTGCTGTAGATGCAGCTGACAGAGAAGTATTCAGATATCTAGCAACTACTCTGGTGGTATGGATGGGAGACTTCAAGGATATTCTAGTTAGTTCTGTGTGAAGGTGATCCTTTACACACACACACATAAAGTTAAGCAGAGAGGATCGGCTATGGGACCCTCAACTCCATTATAATTTTCAGGAGGGGGCTCGAGGGGCTGATGACTTCTTTAAATGTAATAATAAGTGCAGTAATTAAAGTAATTATTATTAGTATTACACACTATATGGCAAATAAATATAATATTTATTAAATACTATGAAATGTGTAAACAAATACTTACAAAATAGAACCTCTGTACATGGGAGAGGGTGGGGTGTTTGGCCCCCTTGCACATGGGGGGGGGGGGGGGTGTCAGCTCCCTAAGCATTTTGGAGGTTTCAGTGCCCCTGGTGTCTGGTGACCTAATATTTCTCTATGCTGATGGGAATTTCTAGTATCAGTCTTTTACAACAAAACAGTTCAGTATAGGTAGAATTAAAAACAAATTGAAGATAAAATATCAATGAATAGAGTTAAAGTAATTGAAAAATGGACTGTATATAAACAAATTCTATTTATGTTGATTATAGCAGATTAGAAATTATTATACTCAGTCTTATGTAATACAGTCTCAAGAGCACTGTTTCTAGTCTGATACAGATTTACTTTCATTGCAACTGTCACTAGGTAAACAACATGACAGGCTACTAGTCATCTGCTGACTGGGCGGAATTACCATTTTGCCAAATTATAATTGAATGGCGCCTTTTTGGATTGCATTCTTTGTTCCATGGTTGGAATTTTTATTTTGGTCATAATAAAATCAGTCTTATTATTGAATGGCTAGACAAAATACAGTTATGATAATATATTCACATCAGTTTTCAGAGATGATGATGAAGGTAACAGTTTTTTTAATTATATGAGTTTCCATTGATAAATATATATAAATATATATATATATATGAACAAAGATAGATCCACTGCTTCCCTAACAAGCATGTCGAAAGAGTAGACTAATTGGGGTGTTTTCTTCAAAGTCGGAGTGCATCAACCTGAGAAATGAGGAACCAACAGTCTGCATACAAATAAGCGAGATCTGTAAAATGGATATGCAAAACTTGAATTCTAGAACAAGACTAAGAGTCCCAGAAGTGGTTGAACAACCAGAACTTTCTGCTTAAGTTTGCAGCCAGTGAACACTAAGAAGAAGAAGTGCTGTAGATGCAGCTGACAGAGAAGTATTCAGATATCTAGCAACTACTCTGGTGGTATGGATGGGAGACTTCAAGGATATTCTAGTTAGTTCTGTGTGAAGGTGATCCTTTACACACACACACATAAAGTTAAGCAGAGAGGATCGGCTATGGGACCCTCAACTCCATTATAATTTTCAGGAGGGGGCTCGAGGGGCTGATGACTTCTTTAAATGTAATAATAAGTGCAGTAATTAAAGTAATTATTATTAGTATTACACACTATATGGCAAATAAATATAATATTTATTAAATACTATGAAATGTGTAAACAAATACTTACAAAATAGAACCTCTGTACATGGGGGAGGGTGGGGTGTTTGGCCCCCTTGCACATGGGGGGGGGGGGGGGGGGGTGTCAGCTCCCTAAGCATTTTGGAGGTTTCAGTGCCCCTGGTGTCTGGTGACCTAATATTTCTCTATGCTGATGGGAATTTCTAGTATCAGTCTTTTACAACAAAACAGTTCAGTATAGGTAGAATTAAAAACTCAGTCATACGTCTCAAGAGCACTCGTTTCTAGTCTGATACAGATTTTAATTTCATTGACAAACTGTTCCAACTTACAAAGGTTTTAAAACAACATGGACAGGTAATAGTCATCTGCTGATGGGCGGAATTACCATTGGCCAACAATTATAATGAATGGCGCCTTTTGGATTGCAGTGCTTTTTCCATGGTTGGAATTTCTATTGTGGTCATAATAAATCAGTCGTATTATTGAATGGCTAGACAAAATACAGTTATGATAATATATTCACATCAGTTTCAGAGATGATGAGAAGACCGAGGGAATGTATGCTTGACATTGCAAAGCCCTGCAAAGTTCAGACATTTTTGGGCCCCCCTGGGAATTCTCTAACCCTACGGAGGGAAAAAAAATCTTATATGAAATATCGCGGTTCCCCGTGGACCGGGGATGGGTGAGAGGAAGGTAAAAAATTTGTTGTGAAATTTTAT